GTCACACTGTCCTGCTTGGCCTTGAAGGCTAAGCAGGGTCAGGTTTGGTTAAGCTCTTGGGTGGGAGGCCACCCATTAATCCCAGGTGGTGTAGGCCATATTTGACAGGAAAGAACTGGCAAAACTGAATATCCCTTGCCCAAGAAAACAATGGGGTAGCCATAGGTCACTAGGCAACTTGAAGGCACAAACATCCATAGGACAGTGGGCAGCTTGAAGGCACAAATATACACGTTAGACCAGGGGTCCTCAAACTAAAGCCCAGGGGCCGGATGCGGCCCTCCAAGGTCATTTACCCGGCCCTCGCTCAGGGTCAATCTAAGTCTGAAACGACTTGAAAGCACATAACAATCCTATCTCATGAGCCAGAAGCAGGCCCACACTTCCCATTGAGATACCAAAAAGTTTATATTTGTTAAATTGTTCTTCATTTTAATTATTGTATTGTTTTAAGTGATTTTTGCACTACAAATAAGATATGTGGTATGCATAGGAATTCATGTTTTGTTTCAAATTATAATCCGGCCCTCCAACAGTTTGAGGAACTGTGACCTGGCCCTCTGTTTAAAATGTTTGTGGACCCCTGTCATAGACAATATCATGAAAATTAGTTTATTTATTTATGACATTTATGTGCCACCCTTCTCACACAAGAAGGGGAGTCAGAGCGGCTTACAAGATATATATACATACAATATATTATATATTTTATCTGTATTGTCGAAGGCTTTCATGGCTGGAATCAATAGGTTCTTGTGGGGTTTTTTCGGGCTATATGGCCATGTTCTAGAGGCATTTTCTCCTGACGTTTTGCCTGCATCTATGGCAAGCATCCTCAGAGGTAGTCAGGTCTGTTGGAAATAGGAAAATGGGTTTATATATCTGTGGAATGACTGGGGTGGGGCAAAGAGCTCTTCTCTGCTGAAGCTAGGTGTGAATGTTTCAGCTGACCACCTTCATTAGCATTTGAAGGCCTGGCTGAGCCTGGGAAAATGTTTTGTTGAGAGGTGTTAAGATGTGCCTGGTTGTTTCCTCTCTGCTGTTTTGCTGTTGTAATTTTAGAGTTTTTTAATACTGGTAGCCAGATTTTGTTCATTTTCCTGGTCTCCTCCTTTCTGTTGAAATTGTCCACATGCTTGTGGATTTCAATGGCTTCTCTGTGTAGTCTGACATGGTGGTTGTTGTGAGTGGTCCAGCATTTCTGTGTTCTCAAATAATATGCTGTGTCCAGGCTGGTTCATCAGGTGCTCTGCTATGGCTGACTTCTCTGGTTGAAGTAGTCTGCAGTGCCTTTCATGTTCCTGGACACAGCATATTATTTGAGAACACAGAAATGCTGGACCACTCCAACAACCACCATGTCAGACTACAAGTCCCTAAGACTTGGGGGCGGGGGGCTATATTTTGAGAAAAACATGGACAAATTCCTATGAACACTGCAGATAAATTATTTGTACTGCAAAATACATGAAAGTACAATGTAGTATTTAAAATGAGGAACAATTTTACCCAACAAACTTACCAGTATTTCAATGGGAATGGTGGGCCTGCTTTTGGCTGATCAGATAGCCAAGTTAATTCAGGTTGTTGTTGTTGTTGTTGTGTGACTTGAAGTTGTTTCAGATTTAGGGTGATCCTAAGTCCAAAGTTTAGACCAGGGGCCGAGTAAATGACCTTGGAGGGCCGCATTCGGCCCACGGCCCTTAGTTTGAGAACCCCTGATGTAAAGTATATGAGACTCCTCTTTTGACGACCTTCCACCTTTTCCAATTGTGGTTGGTTTTGCAGCAAGAGCTGCTTGCTTTTGCCCTTTTCCATTGCCTTGGGCTTGCCTGACTGATTTTTATTCTTCAGCCTTTCTATCTTTGTATTAAAATAAAAGGGATCCTTTTGGTAAAAAAAAAGACACAAACATCCAATTTAAGAAAAAATACATGTTTTTCCCCATTGAACCTATAGGAATAGTTTAAGAGGAAGGAATTGGTATATCCGCCTTTGTGTATTCTTAGCCTATGAAAACAACAGGAAAGCAATAAATTTTTAGGCAACTTGAAAATACAGGGTTAGTCAAAATGAATAGGCCAATAAGAAAATTAATTTTAGACGAATGTATGTTTATTGTAACCAAACCACAGCTACGTAGCGACAGATAAACTATCAAAGTTTTGTCTCACCTTCAGAGATGTTCGATATGGGCGCCCCGTGTGACACGGCAGATGTCCAAGCGATAGTCCAGTTCATTCCACATCCGTTGCAGCACATCCGACGTAATGGCATCGAATGCAGCAACGTCTGGGAAGGTGTTCGTTGAGGTCCTAACCCTAACCCTAATCCCTAACCCTAACCCTAACCCTAACCCTATCCCTATCCCTAACCCTAACCCTAACCCTAACCCTACCGTAATTACTGACATTGTTTTAGCAAATGTCATCACACAAAACGCCTTCTCTTTGCTTGAATCCGCCATTTTGAAAACAGCGACCCCTAGCGACGCCTAGCGGCATTAACGTACATGTGTGTTGCTCAAAAAAAACTTTGATAGTTTATCTGTCGCTACGTAGCTGTGGTTTGGTTACAGTAAACATACATTCGTCTAAAATTAATTTTCTTATTGGCCTATTCATTTTGACTAACCCTGTATTTCCATAGATACAAAAAGCAAATAAAAACGATGGGTTGGTAAAACCACCTCTGAGTATTCCTACCCTAAGAGAACCCTGTGAAATGGTTTGGGGTTACATATACGCACATGCTTTTTGGAATGGAAGTCAATGTGCACCATTACTCTGGTGCCCAAGATGGTGTTAAAACTTCTTGAACAGAAGGTGATTGGTCTTGACCTGAGAAAAATTGTCAGCTCAGGCTATATAAGCCCTTTAATCTCCCTCTGTTAGCAGGTGGTGTGCTCTTTTAGAAACAAACAAGTTTTCAAAGCAAATTGTAGTTATTTTTAAATGACCTAGACTCAGATATCGAACTGATGCAGTTTAAAGACATTGGCAGTAAACTTTCCTTTCCTCTTCTAACCTATGGGGCAAGTTTTCCAAATCAAAATTATTCTGAATTGAGGAATTGCCTACTTTAATCATAGTCAGCTTAAGAAAGTATGCCTGTTTTGCTTTTCCTGCCACATGTATGACTGGCTGTAGCAGTTGTAAACACCCAGGCTAGGGAGCAATTCCTAATTAACTTAATAAGGTTCATATGTAGGAAAACATTCTCAGGATAGTGATATAATTGTGATGAGTATACCAAAGTACAGTGCAGTGTCGTATACAACTTGTAATTATTCTGATAGACCTGGAGTATTCTGAAAGTTTTTAATGGCTCTGTCCCACCTCCATTTCCACCTGGTCTTGATTTTTGGACATGAATAAAGTAGATTTATTTTTTTGTAGTGAATCATCTAATTCTCTGATAACGACAAAGTTTCACCCTGTCCCAACCTAACATACTGTGCTAAAGTTCAAGAATTCTTTCTGTTTAGGCAGTAGGGGAAAGGAGATTCCTGGAACTGAGAGCTGCTTGCAGTCCTCTAGCTGAAATGGGACAATTTTCCCATGAAATCTATTTTTAAAGTTAAATTCTTTGTTGCTTACCATTTTACATGTCTAGCTGAGCTCTACTTTTAAAAGCTTGTAGTTTAAACAAAGAGCAGTGTAAGTGGCTGAAAGACCAGTTTCTGCGAACCACTATTGAGCTCTTTTTCCTTTTCATATTTATAGCAGACTGATCTTGCTGGCTTCAAAATGACAAATTTTTAAACTTATTTTTTTTGTAATTAAAAAAATACAACTCACACCTCCCCAATAAAAATAAAACAAACACGGACACTATAATAAAATGCATAAAACAGTCTCCCAATCTTCCCTTCCTGTAGCTTTCCATCCACCATTGTATCCCTTCGCTTTAAAAATAGCATTAAAATGACAATCTTGTTTGATTATTCCTCCATAAACGTTTGCAATCAATATGAGTAGAGGGAAAGGAGAGATAATTTATTGTGCTCTGTAGTTGCTTATACTGAAAGGTTGTGTGTCATTATGCATACAATTGAACTTAATGGAATGGCAAACCTTTCAAATGTGAGACATTCCTAATAGTCACAACCTTCTTGCATGCATGCCTGGAGGTTGAAACGACTCTAGTCTGTTTAGGTTGTTCTGCAACCTACAGAAAGCCTTTAATTATGTATGCACAACAATGCAGTGACAGTGACTGTTCCCATGAGTAGGGACTATTTGTTCATGTTTGTTCAAAGATTTGTTTCTATTGGGTGGGGAGATTTTATAGTCTGACTGCCCACACCTGGTTTCCCACACTAGGTATGTAGGTGTCATCTTTCTTTCCATTTTAACAATGGAGATTCAGTTTTGTTTAGTAAAAGGTTTTCAATGTTTCTCACTTTAAAGATTTTATTAGTGCCTCCAGCCAACAAGAAAGAAAACCAGTTCATGTTTTACTGTATTTATAGCATGCAGGCTTAGTCAGGGAGAGTTGCATGATATTAATAGTTTTTTATGTTGTTATATTCCTGAAGTCTTGAAAGAAGGTGTGGGAAACCTTTTATTAAAGAGGACTATTGGATGAAATTTTATTTGCAGACCAAGGTATTTGTAAGAAAGTCCAGGACCAAAAATAAGTGGGGTAAGCCTATTCTAAGGCTGGAGAGCAAACCCAGGGCTCCTTGCAGAAGCTGTGAGTGAATGATTTTTTTTGCCAATTATTACATCATAGGCACTTTGGGCTGCATCATATCAATGGGTCTAATCTTAAAGGAATATTTTATTTCATGGATTTCGGTAGAACTAGAATATGCAGAATCTCAGTTCATAAAATATTGTATTGATTAAATAGCTAACGTAAGCATTGGTAGTACTGGACTGTCCCACAGGGAGATATTTAATTTTAGGGGGGAAACAGGTTATCCCACTAACTATTTCAGTACCTTGTGGTAGGGACAGGAGTAATTAACAAGGTTCATTCTAGGCTATGGAATTCCCACCCCCTTCCAGGTAACAACAGTGTTACCAGAGGTAAAGATAAAAGTGCAAAGGCACTTAGTACAGTATCCCCCCCCCCCTGTTCCTTCCAATGTCACCTACCCACATGTGATAAAATATGCCCTAAGAAATGTTTAAATTCTCCAGTTTGAATCTATGTTATGCTTCTGCCAGAAGTTACCATGGATTTGTAAATTCCTAGAAAGGATACAGCTCTAGGAATTTTCTCCAGGATGACTGCAATAAGTTCTATTAGAATTTGCTAATTTCAGTAGCCTTCACAATTATCCACTGTTTCCTGATTCCACAATAAGTTCAGGAACTTGTCTCCTGGGAATACAGGGGTCACAGTATAATAGTAGACTTGGCTCTTCAGGGATGAATGCAGGCACATCTACTAAGCAGAAAAGGGAATTTCTTTTTGTACCTCTTCCCAGATGTTTGACAGCAGCTGTCAGTAGCTAGGTTCTGTTGTCTTCATGCTGACCTGTGAGTGATAAATACAGTTTCAATTGAGTCTTATAGATATCCTTGTACAGCCTCTCTGTAGCAGAGCTACTTGCATCATATAATTCTGTCTGTATAGAAGGAAAGTGAATCGTGAGAGCACTGACCATTTGTCTCTGTGCTGCTTAAGCTCATCTCAAAAATGGTGATATTTTAATTTGTTGATATGATTGCCATGTGTTAGCCGAATTTGTTTGAGAGCCACCATGGATCCCTCACTGGAAAATAGGTGGCATAAAAATAAAAGAATTATATATCATTAACAGCACTGGAATAACCCAGGTTCTTGAGCTTTATAGTCAAGTTGATTTAACATACTGTTTCCTTTTTAAGTTACTGGAGTTCTAGAAGTGATCTAACACAAGGCATCTGGATTTAGTTTCTCATTTAGGTTGAGCAGTAGATCCCTTGGAGGATAAAACCCACAATGGATCGAAGCATTGACCTGGACTTTCTCCATGACATTCTTGGAAGAACTCTGAAACTCACACTGAAACACAGCACATTCCAAGGGGTTTTGCAACATTTGGATTCCAGCCAAAGTGTCTTTCTAAATAAAGGTTCTGCTTTTGTTTTGAATTACACCAATTTCTTTTGAAAATTATTGCTTAAATATTAGTGGGTATTCTTTGGTCTTCTCAATTAGAGTACAGCCTGCTATTCTATTTTTTAGTCATTGGTTTGGGGTTATGTTGTTAGTGTATGGTTGTGAAGTAGGCTAATATAATAATAATAATAATAATAATAATACAACTTTATTTATACCCTGCCACCATCTTCCCAAAGGGGACTCGGCGCAGCTTACATATATGAATAAATATGAGTAAATATCAGAAGCTGTTACACTCAAAATCCAAATCTCAAATAATGTTCCTATAAATCAAGGCTAGGTCCAAAGAACTTCTTAAGATCTTATCAGGCCTGTGGTCTACCACTTGGATATCCTTTTTTAAAAGACATTTTTGAGATAGCTTTGCATAACAATAGTGGGGAGTAAAATATTGTATTAAAACTGATTATACTTGTAATAGTCATTTGAAAAGTTAAAGGGGAGAGTGGGACAGGATACATTATACTAATTGGCAGCTTGCAATGTTCCAATATTGTATGACATATTGGTCCATATGCTTGTTGTCCATTCTCGGGAAGGCACAGAGGAGCAATCTACTTTACTAATGAGTTAATCCATGCATGGTAATCGAACAGGCAGGGATCCACATTCTTTTCAGTTACTACTGTTAGACTCTTTTCCCTTGTCAATTTTTATTATCCTGCTTTGGCAGTGGATGGGTTTACGGCCTATTCCTTTTATAGAGACTTATTACTATAAAATATGTGTAAAGTAATAGTTTAGATATGGAAAAGAAAATAAAGTGGTGAGAGCCAGGAGAAAAAGAAGGTTCTGGAGAAAAATTTAAAGAAATAAACTTATGAAAATATTACTATTCACAAAAATTCTGTCCAGTGGGTCTCAAAGGATGACAGAGAATCTGATTCACAGAAAGCCCTCCGAAAATAAAGGAAAATAAACATCTGATAAACATAAGTATTAATAAAATACAGATTATACAAGGCTAGATAACTAAACTGCCAGAAAGGGAGGGAATCTAATGGTAGTAACTGAAGAATGTTGACTCCTGTCTATCTAGTTGGTATGTGGGGACTAATCCCTTAGTAGAGCCAAGGTTCTCTTGCTATCCTAGAGTGAACATTCATGGTAGGTATAACTTCTCATTGTTAGGCAGTGTAGACTTTAGTTCTTATAAATTATTATTTGTACACATAAGGAAAGTTCAAGGAAAGGAACAAAAATTCCCACAGTACTTTAATAGTAGTAATTCTTACACAACTGCATAAAATGCAGCCCTATCGTAAGCAATATTGTATTTAGAAGTTCAAATGACTGATATATCGCTACAGAGGATTGGAGACATAGTCCATACACTTCTGAATTCCAAGTTGCTCTGAGATTAAAAGCACATGAATTGCCTTGTGTTTCAGGTGTGTCTTCCTGGCAGGTAGAGTGGCAGCACAGCATTCCTCTCTTTTGCCTGTAGCTGTGTATGCAATTATTTCCCATTATTATCAGTCTGTGATCCTGGATGAACAGGAGAGAATTTAGATAAGAGGAAGCCTAGTCTCTGCTTTTTATCAGAGCAGACAATTCTAAGCACTGGACATCTTGAAATGATTTCCGTGTCAGTTATTCTGAAAGGACTATAGAGTTGTAAGAGATCCTGTGGGTCTTCTTGTCCAGCTCTTTGTGTGTTTGTGGAGCAAAACAATAACAGAGAACAATTTCAAGAGACTTAATTTGAAAGTCCAGTGATCAGTTCTTATGACAATCTAGAGATTGAATATTATTGTTGCGTCTTTGTAGTATTTTACTTGTATCTATTAAGAATTAAAATACCTAAAGTAGCAGCATTCGTATACAGCATTGAATACCATTTTTCTCCTCTGTAAGTACTATTAGCAGAATATTGTTAGATACGCTACCCCACTCCACCAAAAAGTGCAGACATTTTATCATTTTAGTTATTTAAAGAAGCCTATATTTTTGTGAAGTTTCAAGGCTGTAAGACTGGTTAAATAACCAAATTGCTTATGTAATACTGAATGTATTTTGCATAAATGAAATATAATTTATTATTAAAAATTCCTTAGCTGCCCTTGTGCTTGGAATTCTTTACTTGTCCTGTTGACTTGACATAGTACACTGGAGTACAAAATACTTGAAATTGTTCTGTTTATGTGTACACAGGATCAAATACAAAAGATGTATGTTGAATGCATTCCAGTAGCATTGGCAAATAATTAATACAACCATATTTTATTCAGCAGGAGAAGAAAAAAATAATTTGTACCGCCCAAGTTTCTCAGTAGTTGGCATCTATTGATAAAATTCCAAAACCATGACAGGGTAGAAATAATATTTCCAGTCATGTGTGCAAAGGTTCCTCCAGTTGTAGTTTCAGTGCCAGCTTTACATTTTGTTACTTTTAAAAAACCAGACTTAGTTTGCTTGAAAAAGAAGAGGCTAACAAACTTAGTTCTTGAGAGACCAGAATCTTTTTTGGAAAGTTGAATCTGGCAGGAGATTCAAAGTGCTTCATTTCTAGATCTAGATCTTGCTGTAATGCTGAACATTCATGGCAACTAATGGTAGAATCTACCTCCACCACCTCTGAATATCAAACAAGACTATTAAATGGTCGAGAAGTTTGGACTTTGCATAGGAAAGAAAACAAACCTCTCAGAACAAGCTGAGCTTTTCTAAGCACCCTGACGCTGGTGATGACAATGTTATGCAACTCAAGAGGAGAGGAAAATAAACAACCAAACTCTGTGATAAAACACTAGCATGCCATATGTATTGGCGATTCACTTCGATGGTAATGTCCTATACCACTTGCTTATTTTCATCAATGTCCTACTTTGTATATATTCAGATATGACATCCACTCCAATGCGAATAAACAGTTTATATATGAACAAATCAAGCATAAGAACAAAGATTTGCAGGAAAGTTCCACAATTACAAAATAATTTCTACATTGCTGCATCCATGCTGTATTGAAAGGTGCTTATATTATTGGAATGGCATGAAGGAGCAATCCACCGGGACTGAGTTTAACACCTACATGCCAACCAGTTTGGCAAAATACTAAAAAACCATTTAAGCAGGCACATTGAAGTTAAACCCAATCATAGTGGATTGCTCCTCCTGCCCAGCGCAGAATGAACCTTCGTGGTAAATCCTATTTCTCATTTTATATGCAAGTCAGTAATATTTCTGTTTCTGTATTTCAGTTACAAACTTGGAAAGTGGTAGATATGTACCAGGAGTCAAGATGTTTTTTGGCCATGAAATTATTAATGGTGAGATTCCCCTCCTTTTACTTGGACATTTTCTGTTGGGTTTTATGCCACAGGAAGTTTCATTCCCTCTTACTAATATGTTTTCTTACTCTAATAATTGCAATGTCTTCATTAAAATGGCTAAAAGGGGGGGGGGGTGTCATTCTGAGCTTCCACTCAGAATTTGCCGAAACAATTAAATCATTTTCAAGCAGTTAACTATGGAACACCCTCCCTAGAGAAATCAGGGCCCCCACTACTCTTATCATTTAGAAAAGGAGTGAAAACTTTTATGTTTGAACTGGCCTCCGGAGGGGGGGGGGTGTGTGATTAAGATTGTAGATGGACCACATGTCTCTCTAATCCAAGATCTAGCTCTAGGGTTTTATCGCTGACAGTTTTAGATGATCAGGTTGCTATAAGGAATTTATTGCGTTTCAATCTGTTTAAATTTTTTACTTTTTATGTTTTTATTGTATTTTTAGCCGCTTTGAGTCTCGCCTTGGTGTGCGAGAAAAGCAGGGTAAAAATCGACTCAAAAATAAAATTTCCCAACTTTTAATTATCATATCTTTAAACTAAATACAAAAATTGATGAGCAGTTGCAGGAGGATATATTCAGAATGTTAGTTGGGTCAGAATTTGAGACAAGAGCCAATGAAGGGGGAAAAACAAGGTATAAGATTAGAAAGAAGAGTAGGGAGGAAGAAAAGAAAAGGTAGTTGGAGATTGTAGAGACAGAAGGAGCAAAATAGGGCAGCATGGGAGAGACGTGTGCCTAGAAAAAGAGAAAAGTGCCAGAAAAGTGGCAGAAGGATGTAATCCCCTTCCATGCTTCACTTTACGTCATTTTCTCTCAGTGAGGTGGGAAAATGTGATTTTTTACCCAAAATCATAACATGCAAGCAAAGGAAGTATAAAGGAAAGAAGCCTAGGAAGCATTATACTGATAATACTATATTACATGGCATAGGAATGGTGATTGCAAGTGCCTCAAACCACTAGGTAATGTTTAAAATTTGGCTTCAGCTGACTTTTGTTTTGTCTACTATACCCCTAAATTTAATTTCCAACTTCACTCATGTAGAGACTATTGTTTTGCTCCATGAACATATTACCACTGAAAAGGCCAAAATAGCTTTTCTCGGGGTATCAAAGGATCTTCATTTGTGGGGTGAAGAGGAAACATTTCCTGTTCACAGAGCTGGCTGTATTGATGTTGCAATTGCACAGGCACACAGTGACTACTGTATCAAACCAGATTATTGGACGTTTTCCCCGCTTGCCCTAGTTCCTTGTTTTTGTGCCATCATGTTTGATGAAGATTTCTGAAAAAATTTCCTCACTTTTGCAACACTTCAGTGATCTTAATAAGAAGATATTTCCATTTCTGCTTTTTGGTATTGTCGAAGGTTTTCAAGGCCAGAATCACTTTGTTGTTGTAAGTTTGGCCTAGCAGTTTCAAGGTGTGGCTTCTTGGGGGTATCCTTTGTTGAGAGGTGATTAGCTGTCCCTGATTGTTTCTTGTCTGGAGTTCTCCTGTTTTTGAGTGTTGTTCTTTATTTACTGTTATGATTTTAGAGTTCACTTGTTCAGAATCTTGGTTTTGTCTGCAAAAGGACAAAACCTTTTCTGGTCACCTTACCAGTTGCATCTTCCCTTTGCATCCTGTGTTTCCCATCCAAACTCATGAAGTTGGGGTAGGATAGGTGAAGGGCTAGTACATACAGCTAGTCTGAAAAAACACGGACACACAACATTGAACTCCCTGGGTGAAGAGCTCTTTTCTATACATTTCCTTCATTTCCATCATAACACTAATTGCAAGTTGCTATATCCATTTAACATGTTAAAGAGAAAATTAGATATAGAGATTCTGTGCTCCTTAAGAAAATTCAACAGAATATTTTAAATCCTTATCTAAAATTACACAATTTGATTTTTTGTGCAATTTTCTCTTTCTCTCTCAGGATGTCTAATATCATTTAAAGTAATTTACAAGTAACAAAATCTCTTAAGATAGCTTTCTGATTTTCAAGTTACTTTTGCCTATTTAGTTTATCATATAACTAAATAAAAGAAATAATAATTTGAATTTTTATATTTCATTTATACATTTATACTTTTGTATAGTCCCTTGTAATGTGCCTGTTATTTTAATAATTATACTTATATTTGTTCATATTTAGATTGGAACTTACACATTTTTGCCAATTTTGTCCTCCCCACTTAGTCATGCATTTGTGGTCACCCTTCTACATATTTCCCTATTTCTTTATTTCCTGAAGGAAAATTGCCCCAACTTGATGCACAAAAATTTGGGGTAGAGGTGGCTTCTACTGATATCACTGGAATATTTTCCTTATCTGAGTTTGCCCTGCGGGATTTTGGGTGAGGCACAGTGCAATAGAAGAAGAAAATTAACCCTTCCCTTCCCACAATATGAGCCCATGGGTTAACCTTTCTGTCTTCAGCTGTAACTGTGTTGAAAGTTGGATGTTAGGTAAGCTGGGGGGTGGGGGTGGGGGGAGTCAAATGCCATAAATAGACATTCAGACTTTGTGGGCCCAGACCTAATGGCAACATCCCTCCAGATGCACTGTATCCTAGTGAAAAAAAGTACTTAAATTCTCATTGTTGCATGTGGGCATCTGAGTTTAAGGAATACTGATGAGCATAAACTGATCCATTGCAGAGTACCAAAATGTTCACAGCTGAACCACATTCAAATGCCAGTGTCCCAGTGATGAGTAATTACTAGTATATTGACTTACCCATAAATAGTTCATAGTTCAATTTAATTTATCCCATGTACATTTTGGAGGGATATACAGGAAGTGATTGTTATTATCTTTTTCTGTCTTTCACTTGTACTATAAGATTAAAATCAATTTAGAGAATTGCAGGGGAGAATTATGATTTAGTGTATTGTCGAAGGCTTTCATGACCGGAATCACTGGGTTGTTGTAGGTTTTTTCGGGCTATATATAGTGGTCCAGCATTTCTGTGTTCTCAAATAAAATGCTGTGTCCAGGTTGGTTCATCAGGTGCTCTGTTATGAAAGGCACTGCAGACTACTTCAACCAGAGAAATCAGCCATAGCGGAGCACCTGATGAACCAACCTGGACACAGCATTTTATTTAAGAACACAGAAATGCTGGACCATTCTCACAACCACCATGTCAGACTACACAGAGAAGCCATTGAAATACACAAGCATGTGGACAATTTCAACAGAAAGGAGGAAACCATGAAAATGAACAAAATCTGGCTACCAGTATTAAAACTCTAAAATTACAACAGCACAACAACAGAGAGGAAACAAACAAGGACATCTAATCACCTCTCAACAAAAGTTTGCTCTAGGCACTGTCAGGCCATTATATGCTAATCAAGGTAGTCAGTTGAAACATTCACACCTAGCTCCAGCAGACAAGAGTCCTTTGTCTCACCCTGGTCATTCCACAGATATATAAACCCCTTTTCTTAGTTCCAACAGACCTCACTACCTCTGAGGATGCTTGCCATAGATGCAGGCGAAACGTCAGGAGAGAATGCCTCTAGACCATGGCCATAACCTACAACAACCCAGTGATTCTGGCCATGAAAGCCTTCGACAATACATTAAGTAATTGGGGTTTATATATCTGTCAAATGTTCAAGGTGGGAGAAAGAACTCTTGTCTGCTTGAGGCAAATGTGAATATTGCAATTGGTCACCTTGATTAGCATTTAATAACCTTTCAGCTTCAAGGTCTAGCTGCTTACTGCCTGGGGAAATCCTTTTTGGGGAGGTGTTAGCTTACCTTGATTGATTCATGTCTGGAATTCCTCTGTTTTCTGAGTGGTGTTCCTTATTTATTGTCCTGATTTTAGAGGGTTTTTTTTAATGCTGGTAGCCAGATTTTGTTCATTTTCATGGTTTTCTCCTTTCTGTTGAAATTGTCCACATGCTTGTGGATTACAGCCCAGAAAAGTCACAGCAACCCAGTGATTCCGGCCATGCAAACCTTTGACAACAAATTGTATTACTATTGTTATCATTATTTTCATCTCACTTTCCTCCCAGTACTGAGACTCAAAGCAGCTCACAATCTTAAAAACGATGCAATGAACGTTATTTACTTTACTACCACTAACCTCAAAACCTTATACATATTTAATTTTGTCTTCTCTAACCTGTCTTCATTCTTAGATCCTAGTTAGGCAGCTTGTTATTGCAAATATATATCAGTGAAATCATCCTAGCTTCCTTTGTCAATAGCATCAAAAGGATTTTAGGGAGTTGTTCAGGAGAACCAATCAATGTAACCTCTTTTCTACTTTCATAAAGTGTGTGTATTTACTGTTAAACATGCAGAATCAGTGCCCATTTCCTTCTGGTTCTGATTTTGCTACTTGCTTGATAGTAATTGTATTCTTCTTTGACACTGAAAGTTTTGGCACATCTTCCACTTTCTGTGGATCAAGTGTAGTTCCTGGTTGAAGGTTGTTTATGTAATAGGAGCTGCTGATTTATGTTTCAGTGGAGTTACTTGATGACCTAGAACAACATGCAGGAGAAAAAAAAACAACTGCCACTAAGTGTGGGTATGTACAAAGAGGATTTTTTTTCAGACTCCTTATTTAAGTAAAATAGTTACTTATCATATGAATAACTTAACTTGTGCAGAGAAGTTGCAGCTACCAAAATACCTACATCAGACAAAGGAGAACCATTGAAGCCAAGCATTCAGGATGTTGAAGCTCATTTCCAAGAGATGCAGGAGCTCAGGCTGAGTACCTCCAAATATAACTTTGCAGGTAACTAAAAGAAATTAGGCCTGATACCAAATCTGTGGATCATTTTTTGTATCCCAATCACGTGTTTCCATGTGTTGGGGGACCACAAGACCTTATAACCCAAGCCAGCAGCACAGTGAATGTTAAGGATTGCTGGGAGTTGCATTCTGTCAATATCTGAAATGCTGCGTGTGACAACTTAGTAACAGTTTGCTATGCTGCCAATTTAAAAAATCATGATTTACCTCACCCTTTAAAAAGGGAGAGATGTGAATGAGGTGCTGGTGCAAAACTGAATATTTGTGAGCAGTGCTGCTGTAAATGTGAAAACAAGCATCATAAAGATTTTTCCCTTCCAAAAAGCCTGTAAAATGATTCAGCTCAAAATTATAATATCCTTGGATTTGAAGCATTTCACTTAGTAGCTATAGGTAACAAAGAATTGCACATAAGCAACTCAGGAAGTTGTTGAAGCCAGGATGAAGGGCTCAGTCCCACTCCAGCACTTTCTGAAGCTGGAGCAGGCTTCAGAGAAGAGAGCTTTTCTCTTCTTTCCTTTTGGCAATCCTTCAAATGTATTGGACTGCAGCTCCCATCATCCTTAATGCCCATGTAGGCTGCCCATAATAGGACATGTTGTGTTGTCCAACATGTTGGGGGGGGGGGGGGCTTCAGGAAGTTATACTGAGTACAGTCAAACAAGATTTTTAATGTATGCTTTTTACATTGCAGGAGATAAGAGGGAGAAAATAGAATATGTTGTTGTTGATCAATTCCAGAAGAAATTTGGCTATGCAGTGAGTATAATCCTGTTACATTCTGCTTGAGGCTTCTGTTCAGTCTGCTGTTCATTTTTATACTGGGAGCATATTTGTGTGTTGTGCTTTTCTGATCAGTATTGCAGTGCCAGCCACTTGTCAGCCAGATTTTTCCATTTGAACATGCTATAAGGAAGGGTGTGAAAATCTATATGTCACTGGTCTTGACCAGCCTCATACAATTGGCTGCTATCCTTGCATGGTGGTGGTGAATGCTGGCTGTGAGATCATTTTTCTCAGAGCCAAGATGGTGTGGCTAAAGTATTTGGATTTTATATTAAAAGTCTGAAAGTAGTGAGTCCAATGAAGAGGTGGTAAAATTCCATTAACTATAGCCCTGTCTTTTGATGGTGGAGGGATTGCCTGCCTCTGTGAGTCAAGAGGCTATGCTAATGATAGTAGTATGGCAGGTAGAATCTTCTATTTCAGACAAGCTTTTGCAGAAGAGCCAAACCAAAAATGCCAAACAGCTACTAAGCAGTCGCAATAAAGAGAGTTGACACTGGTGGAGAGAATAATCTAGTAATCTATTTAGGGAAATGCTGGGAAGGGTGTTCTGTTATGCTTTAGAATGCCTTAGTCTGAAAATATGTTTGTATAAATAATATCCAAGAAATTGACATTCTGGTTTATTCTTTATGGAGCATCCAATCAAAGCCCAACTATTTTTTATCCATATTGCAATTACACACTATGTTTGTTAGTAAAAAAGTCCATGTTGTATTTCTTGTTTTCCTAACACCCCCTCCCCAACACTACTAGATGGTGCACATCAAAAAGCAAGCTGTATGCAGTATAGCAGCCGAGGGTGTCAATTTGTGCCGTTATGGAAAACTGTCTTGGTTTCAAGTAAGAAAATACACTGAAATGTTTGCCTGGAACTTCTATGAATTTTTTTATTTTGTGATTCTTAATCAGTAATCTCTTTCTGGGCAATAAGTCCAGAAAAGAAAAATATGCTCTGTCCTTGTTTTTCAGTATTACCTCTTCTTTTTTTCTCTCCTTTTAGTTTGACTGTTCTATCCATGATCTTTAGGCGGCAGGAGGAAAGTTGATATCATTGGTTATGTTATATAGTACATTTATTCTCACTATAAAATAATCCAGTGAACTATCATTGCCTACCCGCTCACAGGATGTGGGTGAAATCAAGTTGTGTTCATCAGCCATTGGACCAGAGTCTGTCCCTGGAGTACTCCTTGAACTCCACCATAGGGCTCTGTCCACCCGTAACATCTCTTCTGCATCATGTTTCTCAGACAATCACAGACCTGGTTCTATCCATTCTCCTCTCGTCTTGAGGTGCACACTGGTTTGGACTTCAAATCCCAGAAACCCCTCGTGTATGTGTGTGTGTATATATTATTGATAAAACCTTTTTAAAAATCCCAAAAATCAGTGGATTAGCAAAATGTTTTGAAACCTGACAGGCTTGCAGTTGTAAATGTGCCCTACAAGTATGACAAGTTTCATTCTGATAGCCACCTAAATGATGGAGAGATGAGACTCTAAAGTTCCCTCATTGGCGCCAATGGACCAAATTTTCCCGGAACGAAAATGGAACTCCCGATCGGGAATTGTGGATATGAAACCTCCCTCATTAATTTCCAGGTTTTCCCCAAAACCGGAACGGGGGGTAACCAAAACGGTACGGATGTCTGCCGTTTCATACACCCCAATGAATACAGATTGAGGAAACAGTGAGTTTCATAATCTGTTCTTAAACATTTTATTTGAAGTGCATTTGACTGTGATGTCAAATGTCCACAATATTGAAATCACTGGAGAGTAATTACTGAAATTCATTTTATAAAAACATGCTAATATTTCAATAATAGTGCTTCTTATGATTTTGGTCTCTATTCTGCATACTTTCCATAGGTAGCAACAAAAAGCCGGGTTTTCTTATTTGACGTTTTCCTTCTGGGACCTCGAGTGTTCAAGAATGGACTTCAAATTATATTGGAAGATCAGCATATTTTGAAAGCAAGTATTTGTAAAACATGTGACATTTGAGAACACGTGTCGAACAATGTAAAAATAGCAACAAGGATTACTTTTATTGACATCTATATTCCATTCTGAATCAATTAACTGCTCTGCTGCTTCTTCCTCACATACTTCAGGTTATTCATGACTGCAGGTGGCTTTCAGATTGTCTTTCTCACCAGTATGGCATAGAACTCACTAATGTCTTTGATACACAGGTAGGTTGTAAGATGGTTTTGTCTGTAATTTTAAAAGGTAATCTAAGACAATTCAGAAGGAAACACTTTATTAAAATGTATCAGATTCTATATCTAAAAATCTCAAGGTGGCAGAGAATAAAATCAGTTTGAGCCAATCTAAAAAAATTAAAAAAGTTAAGATAATTTGTACTGCCTAAAACATATTAAACAGGTTAATCAAAAGAAGGCAATTTAAATCCAGTTAAGAATGTCCCACCTGATGGGACAAAGAGAAGAGTCCCTCTAGAAAATTCTTTCAAGGTCTAAAGCCATTTAGCACTTTGCCATGAAGATTAAATTTAATTCGGAAATGTGCAGGCAAGCAGTGAAACTGCTTGAGGCCAGTTAAGTACAATCTCCCTATGCGTGGGGGATACATTCCAAAACTCCCCATGGATAGCGGGAGTGGTGAATAACAGTGAGCTCTATAGTTAGACTTTGGCTGGAAGTATATCCTGGAATCACACATGAGAACCTAGACAGGCCCACAAACACTTCTAAGGGGAGATATTTCTTGGAAACCTTGATATTGAATCCATGGATAAGGGAGTCCTGTTGTATTATACAATTTATATGTTACATTCTTGTCAGCTGTTTAGCTGTAGTGCTGCACTTTGCACTAACTGCAGTTTCCAAGTTGCATTCAGAGGCAGCTCCATGTAGTACTATATATTGGGAAGTTACCACTTCATAACCTACTTTGGCTAGGTTATCTCTCTAGGAAAAACTATATCTGGCAGGCCCTTCTCTTCAAGGGTGCTTGCTAATACTATATGTATGTGATTAAATCAGAAAATTCAATTTCTAGTATGAATTCTGATTCTTCTGAAAACTCAGTTTTTAAAAATGTCATTGTTTGGGGAAATGGATGCAAGATCCTGAAGATTTTGTCAGTGCTGCATATATTTGTTACTTCTTATTTATTTATTTATTTATTTATTTACTTCATTTATATACCGCTTTTCTCCCCGGGGAACTCAAAGCAGCATATAAATGACTGAAATTCTTAATGATTCTGAAATTCTTAATTCTTAATGAATATAGTTTGTCACAGGGCTAAATTTTAAAGACATTCTTTTGCTTATATGCCTGCAATAAGCAAACTTTACAATTTTGCATTCACTGAATTAAACCAAGTATATAAATAATTCAGAGATATCATGTATGGTACAGCAATGCTTACAGCAGTATTCCTTTATATTTTGAAGCCATCAAATTGTGGAAATGACCTGTGAATCCCCTGCTTTCTTCCATAGGTCGCTGATGTTTTGCAGTTCTCAGTGGAAACGGGAGGATTTCTTCCACGTCGCATCAGAAATTTGCAAGAGTGCCTAATAGAATACTTGGGGATGTCAAGAAAGGATGTCTCTTTCATGGATGTAAGGCAGCATGAAATTGAGGTAATCTTGCCATTTGGAATAGCACCATTTTATGATAACCTTTCAAGTACTGTATATGTACAATACTTTCTGTGTATCTATTAGGGGCCGCTTTAGTAGATATAGAAACTTTTTCAGACATGTACCTTCTGTATTTAGTCACAGGCCTACTTACTGAAAATCTTACGTTTTTTGCTGCAGTGTGATAGTGGTAGATGCCACAATCTGTATTACTTAAATATTGTCAGCCTGTTGATTCCTGGGAGTGTGAGCAGCAGTGATGTGAAAGTGCTTATTCTATAGGAAGTCAAAGAGTCTAAGTAATTAGAGACTTGCCTTCATGGAAGGAAAAGAGATAAGAGGAAGCTTAAGTAAATCTCTGAACTGAGGACAAAGGTCTGAGAACGAAAGTGTATGAAAAGAACAAATAGAGAAAAGGTAAAAGGCAATAAAGAATCAAGGCTACAAGATGAGGAAACTGACAGCTAGGAAAGGGAGCTGGATAACGTCTATAAGATAGAATTATTCCTAAATTATTGTGCTAAGATTGAGTTGCTTATTTCTTACATGGGTGGTTCAGGGCAGAATCAAAATGCCACTTGAGGATGCAGAATCACAGCTTTCTCTCAACCACCACAGCTGGCCAGATGGACCCAGGGATCATGCAGGCTGCCAAGAGATTCAAGAAACAAATAAAAATGGAACAAAACAAACAAAATCATACCTGGCCTAAAGTCTATTTTGGATATGTTTTTTTAAAAAAAATTTAAAATATTTAAAGAGACATGGCCAGATTGTTAATTGGAGCTGGTTACCAGGAGCACACAACTCCCTTGTTGCAACAGCCCCATTGGTTGCTAGTGCAAATCTAAGTGCTGGTTATAACCTATAAAGCCCTATCTGATTCAGGTCCAAGCTATTAGGCAGATCTCATTTCCCTATATAAACCTGCTCATACACTGAGATCCTTAGGAGGTCCTTCTCTCAGTCCCACTACCATCACAAGCTCAGTTGATGGGGATGTCGGAGAGCGTCTTCTTGATAGCTGTCCCTGGACCCTGGAACTCCCTTCCCAGGGAGACCAGAATGCCCTCCTCCCTGCTATCCCTTTGGCAGCAGGATGAACAATAAAAATAACAATAAAAGTAGTTCAGCTGGCTTCTGTGATCTATTTTAAAGCTGATTTTGCATACTTCATAGAATTATATAATAATAGAGTTGGAAGAGACCACACGAGCCATCTAGTCCAACCTCCTGCCATGCAGGAAAAGCACAAAGTACCCCTGACAGATGACCATCTAGCCTCTGTTTAACTTCTAGAATAGACAATTGATACCTTTTTTTTTGGCCATAAAAAGACTGGAGAGTCTGGAGGGGTATAAAAGTGAAAATAAATCATTAGATGGTCAGTCCCAGTTTCTGAGGATTACTAAACATCCTTTCCTATTTTAAATAATCACATTTTCTGTCATTTTATATGTGTTCATGAAGAGAAATGCTGAGGTATGGTTTATGAGACCCCTTTCACCTGCCCTGCTGAATGTGTTAGCTCTGGAAACAGTGTACCTCCTCCCTCTTCGTCTGATGCTGCTTGATGAAATTATGTCTGATTTAACAACTTTGGTAGATGGATACCTTAATGCATTTCGGAAGGGATCTGCAGACCTTTTGGGAAGTAGAAAGGTAGGTGTGACCTCAGAAGCATCTCCAGAACATGAGATCAAATAATTCTTTATTTTTGTCATTCTTGATTGTGAATTTTAGAACCTCAAACTGCAGATTATTGGCATTTTATAATTCCAGTTCAGTTCATTTAAAGCAGTGTTTCTCAACCTGGGGGTCGAGACCCCTGGAGGGGTCGCAAGGGGGTGTCAGAGGGGTCACCAAAGACCAGCAGAAAACACAGTATTGTCTGTTGGTCATGTGGGGTTCTGTGTGGGAAGTTTGGACCAATTCTATCATTGGTGGGGTTCAGAACATTCTTTGATTGTGAGTGAACTATAAATCCCAGCAACTACAATTCCCAAATGTGAAGGTCTATTTTCCCCAAACTCCACCACTGTTCACATTTGGGCATTTTGAGTATACATGCCAAGTTTGGTCCATCATTGTTTGAGTCCACAGTGCTCTCTGGATGTAGGTGAACAATAACTCCCAAACTCAAGGTAAATGCCAAATAATCCTTCCATTATTTTCTGTTGGTCATGGGAGTTTTGTGTGCCATGTTTGGTTCAGTTCCATCGTTGGTGGAGTTCAGATTGCTCTTTGATTGTAGGTGAACTATAAATCCCAACAACTGCAACTCCCAAAGGACAAAATCAAACCCCCTCAACCCCATCAGTACTCAAATTTGAGCGTATTTGTGCCAAATTTGGTCCAGCGAATGAAAATATATCCTGCATATCAGGTATTTACATTACAATTCATAACACAAGCAAACTTACAGTTGTGAAGTAGCAACAAAAATAGTTTTATGGCTTGGGGGTCACCACAACATGAGAAACTGTATTAAGGGGTCGTGGCATTAGGAAGGTTGAGAACCACTGATTTAAAGTGATTTATCAGAAAAACATTTCTATTAAAACTGCTAGTTTTTGAATGCTTTCCTGTGTTACTTCCATATTTTACCATGGGGAAAATACACTCTTTAGTACAAATATTCTCAATAACTCACACAAATGAGGTTTACTGTAGCTATGCAGTGCATCGTTCAGAGCCTTCTAAATCTGTTACATAAGCATTTTAGTGGTTGTCCCTCTTTTTCTCATTCTAGTTCATTCAAAACCTGTGTTCCTTTTCGTCTGCCACATCAACAGCAACAAAGGAACTGTTGATGAGCTGTTCGCTTCCATTTTCAGATTTATCTTCCCTCTGGTTTTTTTATTTCCCTTGGATTGCACCTTGGCTTCACTTTCTTGAGATTTTGATTTGGCATTGTCTGGACTCTGTCTTTTGAGTTGACTTAGACTGTTCGACTTGGGAACATTCAGTTCGGTTTGGTGGTTTGGGTTTGATGGTCTACTATGGCCCCTGGTGGCGCAATGGGTTAAACCCTTGTGCAGGCAGGACTGCTGACCGACAGATCAACAGTTTGAACCTGGGGAGAGCAGTGTTGAGCTCTCTCTGTCAGCTCCAGCTCCCCATGCGGGGACATGAGAGAAGCCTCCCATAAGGATGGTAAAACATTAAATATCTGGGTATCCCGGGGCAATGTCCTTGCAGACAGCCAATTCTCTCACACAAGAAGTGACCTGCAGTTTCTCAAGTTGTTCCTGGCATGAAAAAAAAATCTGGTTCAATAAAAAAATTATCTTTTGAGGAGCTAAAATCACCCAAGGGAATGGTCGTTCACGCTGCCTTTTATGCCTCAGAGAAAGCCACGAAGTGGGGTCCTGTTTTCATTGTAAGGCATTTACCCCAAAAGTAAGAGAGATGTATTGTGTTTTCCTTTGTCACATGACACTCCCACTTCCTATGGTGATTAAGTAGTTGTCTCCCTTTTGTGTGAGCCATGGAAACCACAAAGGACAGGTTGCTTACCTGCAACCATAGTTCTTGAGTAGTTGTGTGTAAGCTCACACAATATCCATGTTTCCTCCCCTGTATGTATTCTGCTTATATTAGCTCCTTGATGAATCAGCTTCTAAGGATTTTTGGGCATAGGGCTCGTTACATAGATCAGGGGAGGTTACTGCCAGAATGCTTACATAACAGCTCCAGAAGGTTGTGAATGATGCATTGCATAGGTGTAGGTATACCCTATTTGTGTGAGTTATACAAGTTTCCCTACGTGTCTGTGCTGTGAATACGCACTATTGGTACTCTCTGCGCATGCGCAGCCTCGCTCCGGAATCTTCAGTTAAATTTTTAAAAGAAAAGCGGTTGGCCCCGCGCACACTCCCCATGATAGTATAAATAGCCCGCGGCTGGCCAACCGCCTCCAGATCTCTTCAGCCGCACTAACGTCAGCAAGCTCAGATCTTCTTTATCTCAGATCGTTTATTTATTATTATTATATCTTTGCTAGTTTGTTGAGATGTCTAATACAAAAGGTTTTAAACGTTGCTCTGCCTGCCAGAGCAACTTTCCAGATAATGATGCACATTCCTTATGCATCGCCTGCCAAGGTGAAGGACATTTAACACAGGCTTGTGCTATCTGTCAATCCTTCACCCCAAAAACAAGGAAAAACAGGGAGATTCGTTTAAAGGCCGCCCTGTACGAACGGGCGCTTCTCCCTGATCTACATCAAAATGCTAACCAATATAATGAGCAAGCCTTACCTGAAATGGCGGCCCAATCGGGGACGATGAAGAAAGCCAAAAAATCCAAGGCTACTCAGGGCAAAACGGCTGCAGGAAAGTTCCCGAAGAAAGTAGGAACCGAGGCCGCGGCTTCCAAGATAGTCTCTCCCTTTGAGAAGGGAAAGGAGACCCCTCCACGTGGCTCCAAAGCCAGAATAGAGCCGGCATCAACCTCCGCTCGCCCCGTGCGAGCAACGGAGGAAATTGAAACCGAAAGGGAGCTGAGGTTGGCTAGAGCACGCCCCGCGCGTGCGCAGGAGGAGAACATGGCAATAAGGACTATGGACATTCACAAAGACAAGAGACTTTCCCTACGCATGTTGGGCATGACCACCATGGAACCTATTATTCTCAGAGGGGTACACCATTGCCATCCATCTCTGAAGACCATCTTCCTCCTGACAATTTGGAGTCAGATTCATCTGTAGAAATGATGGACTCTTCAAATGTAGGGAAGGATCAGGACCCAAATGTGAACCGTGTAGAGGACTATAATAAGTTTGCACAAATGATTGGGAGAATGATAACTGCTTTAGGCATCATTACTCCAAAACCAGTTTCCACGGTGGATGATCCTATGTTTCCATCTGAGGAACAAGACAATTCCCCATCCACACTACTTCCTACTTTGCCATACCTATTAAAGTTAACTAAAGTTCCGGACATGTCTCCGTCAGCTGCTCCTGCTATTCCCAAGAGAGTAGACCTACTTTACAAAGTTGATCTCTCAGTGGCACGTTGGATTGCCCACCCCACAACACCTAATACGGTAGTGGCGGAGGCAGCTAGGTCAAAGAGGCCTAAGAAATATTCCATTACACCACCGGATAAGGAGGGCAAAAAGATAGATTCCCTTGGGAAGAAAGTCCATGTGGCTGCGGGTTTGTTCGCTAGGATGGCTCATTATGCGACCTTTATGAGCGGATACCAGAGTTTTCTCTGGAACAAAATGCTACCTTTTATTAATCTCTTGCCGATCGAAGACCGTCGTCTTCCTAAGGCTTTCCAGGCAGAAGCCCTTATTCTTTCTAGATTCCAGAAAGACTTTGCCAAACATATGGCTGAGGCATCTGGTAAACTCCTCGCCTCAGCCACGGCCATAAGGCGCCATGCATGGCTTCGTGCCTCCACACTATCGGAAGAAAGCCGCTTGTTGGCGGAAGACCTCCCTATGAATGAGGAAGGCCTTTTCGATCCAACAACTGATGAAAAAATTAAACATTCACGGGAAGTTCTGCAAGCAGCAAAATACCCGTACCCATACCCATACCCATGGCAGCCAGGTAACCAACAGAAACCTCGTTGGCAGCAAACGTCACCCTTCTATCGTAGGACAAATTTCAATGGGTATAATACTAATCAGACAAATAGGAATACTTCATCAAAATTCCAATTTAGTTGTAAACAGAATTATGGTTCAAAGTCCAGGTATCAATCATACCAAACTAAGCCAAAAAACGCAGGAAATTCAAGGCGTCGTCTTTGACGACACCTTTGTTAATGTTACCCAGCAACCCCAGGTTATTCTATCTGAACCCTCCGTATCTGTTAGCTGCATTTGGTTTAAGGATAGACTTAGACCATTTGCGCAGGCCTGGGCTGCGATTACCACTGATAGGTGGGTCCTCCAAATTGTTGAGGAAGGTTACTCAATAGAGTTTATTTCGTTGCCCCCGTTGGGCCATTTGGAAACAAGTCCTGAGTCTCCAGCATTGCTGGAAGAGGTTAAAACACTCTTGGCTAAAGGGGCAATTTCTCATGTAGACCGTTCTATGTTTGATAAATGTTTCTTTTCTCGTTATTTTTTGGTAACTAAGAAAGGAGGTGGTTTGCGTCCCATTTTAGATTTAAGAGGAGTGAACATGTACATTGACTCGAGAAAGTTTCGTATGGTTTCTCTCTCTGTGATCCTTCCTCTTCTTAATAAAGATGTTTGGTTCGCAACCATTGATTTGAAGGACGCATATTTTCATATTTCCATGGCTGAACATCATAGAAAATATCTCGCCTTCATGGTTGGAGACAAGGCTTTCAGTTTTAACGTTTTGCCTTTTGGCCTTACCACAGCTCCTAGGGTTTTCACAAAGTGCATGGCGGTGATCGCTGCTCACCTCAGAACTAGGGGCATTATGGTGTATCCGTATATAGATGATTGGCTGTTGGTAGCGAACTCATGCGAACACCTGCATGTGCATATTAATATAACACTCTCTCTTCTCCAGTCCCTAGGCCTCGTGGTAAACAGAGAGAAGTCCCATCTGCTACCTGCCCGCAGGATTCAGTTTATTGGAGCGGTTTTGGATTCAACTCAACAGAAGGCGTTTCTACCAGAGGACCGGTTTACATCACTCAAGTCCCTGGTTGCGCAAATCCTGTGTTCAGGAAAGGTGTCAGCAAAGAAAATTCAAGTGCTGCTAGGGCATATGGCGTCTACAACTGCAGTCACGCCATATGCCCGGTTGCGATTCAGGCCCATCCAGAATTGGTTTCTGTCTGTATTCCGCCCTGGCCTGGACAACCCCCATGTGCGGTTTCACATGCCGGAGGAAGTTCGACGTTCTCTTTTGTGGTGGACAGAACCAAACAATGTAACTGCGGGTCTGCCTTTTCAACATCCCGATCCATCAAGTATTGTCACGATGGATTCTTCTTTAAAAGGATGGGGAGTGCACTTCAAGGGCCTCACTGCCGAAGGGGTGTGGACTCCAGAGGAGGCCGCAACCCATATAAACGTATTGGAATTGCTTGCGGTAGAAAAGGCATTAAAATCTTTCGAGGTGGCATTGCTGGGCAAGGTAGTGCAGGTGGTTACGGACAATACAACGACAATGTTTTACATAAACAAACAAGGGGGAACACGGTCTCAGACTCTGTCGAGCTTAACAATGCGCATCTGGGAGTGGTGCATAGCCAGAGAGATTCATCTAATGGCCATTCACCTCCCAGGGGAGGAGAATGTTCTGGCGGACGAGCTGAGCAGGGCACCCATGTTGAGCCACGAATGGTCTCAATCAAAGGGAACTCAATACGATCTTTAAGATCTGGGGAGTTCCGAGAATAGATTTGTTCGCATCGCAGGAGAACGCGAAATGTCCCCAATATTGTGCACGCAGGAAAGCAAATCTCAGACAGGGATGTCTGGGGGACGCGTTCCTTCTCAAATGGAGCGGAGATTACCTTTATGCGTTTCCTCCTTTCCCCCTACTGTCGAAGGTCCTTTCGAAGCTACGGAGGGACAGAGGGAACTGCATTCTAGTATCACCATGGTGGCCTCGCCAACCGTGGTTCTCAGTTCTTCTCGAAATGTCCAAGGGAAGGTACAGACGCCTGCCAAACAGGACAGACCTTTTAACTTCACAGGGCGGACAGGTTCATTACCCGGACATCCACATGTTGAGACTCACTGCTTGGAGGATCACCCCAGACAGTTAGGTCCATCTTCAGGGTTGTCTAGTCAGGTTAGAACTATCTTGGATGCAGCACAAAAACCATCTACTAAGCGATCCTATGTGTATAAGTGGGCACGTTACTCCAAGTTTATGGAGGGAAAGGGCCATGATCCTGTTAAAGCGCCAATTTCGGCAGTGTTAGATTTTTTTAGTCTCATTATCTGATTCAGGTTTATCTATTTCATCCCTGAAGTGTTACCTGGCAGCCATATCATGGTATAGAAGGAAAGAAGGAATGCCCTCCCTCTTTACAGAATATTTAGTTAAGCTTTTCCTTAAAGGGTACGGAAATATTAAGCCAGCAGTAGTCCCAATTATCCCTTCGTGGAGCCTGGAGGTTGTGCTTTCATCTCTTCAAAGTGTGCCATACAAGCCTATGGCCACATGCGATATGTCGCATCTTTCCTGGAAAACTTCTTTTCTAGTAGCAATAACATCAGCTCGACGCGTTAGCGAAATTTGCGCACTTAGATCAGATGAACCATACCTCCGGTTCCACAAGGATAAGGTAGTGCTCCGCACGGACATTTCCTTTCTTCCCAAGGTGACATCTCCTTTTCATATGTCACAAGAGATTATTTTGCCATCCTTCTTCCAGAACCCAGTCTCCCCTTTGGAGCGTAGTCTTCATTTGTTAGATGTCCGCAGGGCGGTGGCGTTCTATCTTAATAGAACGAAAGACATAAGGAAAACGCCAAAGTTATTTGTTAAGTATAGGAAGGACTCTTGCGGCCTCCCTGTGTCATCACAGCGCCTGTCATCATGGATAGTCTCCGTGATCAAGTTGGCTTACCAGAAATCTGGACGTGCGCTTCCTACTGGCATAAGGGGACATTCCACGAGAGCAGTGTCTACTACGACAGCGTTTTGGAAGGGTGTGCCCTTGGATGCCATTTGTCGAGCCGCCACCTGGTCAACGCCACTGACGTTTGTGTCGCATAAGCTTGATTTGATGGCCAAGAAGGACGCGGCGTTTGGTCGGGCAGTGCTTTTTTCTGCGGTGGCATGACTCCCGCCAACCAAGGTGGGTAGCTCGCTAGTCTTTTACCAATAGTGCGTATTCACAGCACAGACACGTAGGGAAAATGAGAGGTTGCTTACCTGTAACCGTAGTTTCCCTAGTGTTGTGCTGTGAATTCGCACGACCCCGCCCATCCTCCTCGCAGTTGTCATGCCTCCTCCTTCTGGCTGCTTTAGCGGCGGAAGAGATCTATCATGGGGAGTGTGCGCGGGGCCAACCGCTTTTCTTTTAAAAATTTAACTGAAGATTCCGGAGCGAGGCTGCGCATGCGCAGAGAGTACCAATAGTGCGAATTCACAGCACAGCACTAGGGAAACTACGGTTACAGGTAAACAACCTCTCATTTACCAAAGAATTGCGATCCTTGTCTATACAGAAAGAGAGAAAAACTTGTAACATTAACATTTCATAAAAATGAAAGATACCAGCAAAAAAAAGAGAGCAAAAGATATGAACACAAAAATAAAAGGTCTAGAAAAACAAGAGAATTGAAATGAATCCGGTCTGTCAGTCATCTGTGTAATGTTACTGTAACATTCTACGTGGTATAGAACTTAAAGTCTTTTTCATCAACTTTATTTGTTAGACTGCACATTAGATTAGCACTTTATGCTCTTATTCTCTTCAGTCAGTGGATACAGCCTCAACTGTATTATATCTTTTATGTTTGGCTCATTTATAGAAGTAAGTAACAACAGTTGAATGAAATGTTGGTAATAAATGAATATTAGAGGTACGATCTGTCTGTCTTAATCAGATTTCCTGTATGGAGCTACCACGAGAGCTAAGACAATTGGAAGATTTTCACAAAAATCGGAGAGAGAATGCACTGCGAAAATTCCAAGTGAACGAGGACGGTCTTCTTATCAGAAAACAAATAGCGCCTTTGCGAGGAAAGAGAGCACAAAAAGATGGAAATGAAAAAAATGGCACTAAATTAACCCCTTCCAATAAGATAGCATCGCCCAAAGCATACAATGCCAATTGTCTTCATCCAGTTGGTCATGAAAATGCTAAAATAATAGAGCAGAGGGTATCTCACTGTGATAATCAAGGGGAAACAGTTAGTGGAGATATAGAAGATGCTTGGAGACAAGAGGCCCAACTTGTACATCTACAACCTTCAAACCACGAACCACAAACAAAGGTTGCTGGGACTTTGGAAGAGGAAATCAGGCAATTATTGACACAGTAGAAACTCGAGCTACTGCGGTTTTTGACCTATACACCCAAGAAATAATGATTCTCCTCAGTTGTCAGTTCATTGTCTTGCCTTCTATAAAGTCATATTGCCAAACCTTGAGTAACAACACACCTTTCCTTTCAAGCAGACAGGGGCCCCTTCCACGTAGCTGAATAAAATCCCACATTTTCTGCTTTGAACTGGAATATATGGCAGTGTGGACTCAGATAACCCAGTTCAAATCAGATATTGCAGGATTTTCTGCCTTGATATTTTGGGGGCCTTTCAACACAGTTAAATAAAACCCCACATTTTCTCTTTGAACTGGAATATATGATAGTGTGGAATCAGCCCAGTTCAAATCAGATATTGTGGGATTTTCTGCCTTGATATTCTGAGTTATATGGCTGTGTGGAAGAGCCCAGGATCCCGTAAGTCCTAAAAGGGAAGAAAGTGCAATTAGCTTTACTTTGTCTCATGGAGACATCTGCTGTCAATTAATTTCAAATTTTGGAGAAAAATAAGAATTACAGTTGATCTTCCACATTTGCAGGTTTGACTTTTGCAGATTTGATTATTTGCAGATATGGGAATCTCTAGCTCCTACAGTGCAACCCTTTAGTCAACTTCTGCCAGAAGTTTGTAATAGAATCAAGTTGGTAGACCTAGAAATTCCTAGACAGAACACCTCGAGGAATCTCTAGGTCCTCCAGCATAATCCTCACTAGAGATGTTGGCCATAAAGTTGTGCCAGGGGACCTATAGATTCCTAGAGGTGTTCTGTCAGATAAAACTAGAAAGCAATATTTTTAATTTGCAGTTTTTCACTTTTGTAGTGTTCCTATGCCCCTAACCCCAATGCAGGTGTTATCAAGTGAAAACACAGGATGTTTATTAAATGAGTTGTTCTTTCCAAGTGCTTAAGTCTAAAGTTCATACACATTCTGAGACATTTCTGGTTTCCTAACCCTTGTTTAAGTTGGACCTGTTTTTTGTACAATACTGGGTGATTCTTACATATAATTAAATTATATTTATTTGTTTTCTTCCTACACAGGACTTGCAGCAAGTCCTTTAGAAGACTCTTTGTGTCTATTATGTTTTTTAGTTTAACCCTTGGTTTTGATGTTTATAAGTTATATTGAATTTATTTTATTTTATGTTTTGCCTTGATTGTTTGTTTTTGAGCATTGAATGTTTGCCATTTTTGTTATTTTTTGTAAACTGCCCTGAGTCCCTTCGGGGAGAGAGGGTGGGTTATAAATTAAGTATTATTATTATTATTATTATTATTATTATTAAGAAGAGGAAGAGGAGGAGGAGGAAGCTTCTTTCACTGCTGTTGACTGTGCTGACTAGGGCTGATGGGAATGGGAAGTCTACTCTGGGTTCCTCACCGGTGCCATAGAGAAATATAGAAACATTTTATTGTACAAGAAATATTCCTTGAGAGCATCATTATTTGCACTTCATTCCTTTAAAATACTGTGAACAGCAATTTGCTATTTCTAGTAAAACAATCTAGTAAAATAAAACCATTCATTTGTCACTGTGAACATTGATCAAAGTATATAATGCTTTGTATTACCAGTGTAATTTGATTATATTATATGCAATGTCAGTTAATATTGAGTGAAGTATTCACATTTCAGAAAGTTTTTTTTTGTCTGTAAAATGAAGTAAGATGGAAGGTCTTCAGATAAGCAGCATGAGTATACTATCTAAACAAGGCCAAATATGAAGTGATTTGAGCAAATGATTCCTAAAATGCAGTATTGTGCATGTCACAGATAAATATGTTACACTGTGTTTTTGTTTGTCAGTACTTTCCATCCACAAAGCAGTGGCAAAGTTTTATGTTTAAAATAAAAGTCTTGATTGTTATCTTTGTCCTATATGTAGGTTTAATATCTGTATTGGAGCTAGTGTGGCATCGTTTGAGTATTGGATTAGGATAAAAACAGATCATGGTTTGCATTCCTACTAGGCCATGGAAGTTCACTGAATGACTTTGGGCAAGCCGCATTCTCAGTCTGACCCCTGCCACATGCACAATGGAGGACTTTCCTACAGCGACACCAGATGCACTTGGAAGTGGACAGCTTCTGGTCATTTAGTATAATACCAAATTTTTAACTTTCTTTGTGGTTTTTCTATACATTATACTTGTATTTTCAGTTTGCTTCTGATGCGATAAATAAAAGCGGGCGGGGGGGGGGGGGAGAAAGACAGTGATAAACCCTCCCATGAACTAATTTTCAACAAGAGAACTCCTCTATTAAATTGCCAGGGGTTTTCGTAAGTCAGAAATTATTTAAGGGTACACAGCAATAGTAACAAAGCATCTATGTATATCTGTTTTTCTAGATCAAGTGGGTAGCACCTCCACTATATATATACCTGTCAGGTGATAAGCACAATTCCATTCACTCACTTTCAACCATTCCCATTCCCAACATTGTAGAGCTATTGGACGCTTTCCTTAAATGGTTGAAAACATTCCTTTTCAGTTCACTTATGCAGACAATCTAAGTAGGATACACAGTAGTAAGTAGGATACAACTCTTTTATACTTTTTTTCCTTAACTATTTAAAACTGCAGCATATCTGGTAGATTTAGAATGTATTTACAGTACAAATCTAATTGAGATGTCATAAAATCCCCAAAATTTTAAGAATTGGAATGGAAGGGGATACAAAGGTTATCTAATCCAACCCACTACCATCTAGGAATACATAAATTAAACACTTCTGAAAGATACTCGTCCAAATGTAAAGGTCTCCAAAGAAGGAGATTCTACCATACTCCATTCTAATATGCCTCTTACAGTAAAGAAGGTTATCCTAAAGTTTTGGTAGAATCTCTTTTCTTGTAATTTAAATGCATCTGTTCATGATCATGTTTGTGAAGTAGAAGAAAACAAGCTCACTCCATGTTCTACCTGACATTCATTCAGATATTTAAAGATGGCTCTCATGTCACCTCTGTCTTCTCTAAGCTAAACGACTCCCCAATTTATTCCTCAAAGAGCTTGGTCTCCAGATATTTTCTCATCTTGATTATAGAATCATAGAATTGGAAGAGGCCTTGTGGTCCATTCAGTCCAACCCTCTGCCAAGAAGCAGGAAAATTGCATTCAAAGCATCCCCAACACTTCTCTGGACACATTCCAATTTGTCACTCTTGCCCTTGAACTGTACTGTTTCAATGAGGTTTGTTAAATTATATTTTCTTTCTTTGTCAAGAGGTCAAGTTCATCTTATTTCTTACGCTTTTGCATTAGTGAAAAGAAATCTAAGACCATGGGTCATTCTCTACAGTTCATTCCTTGTTGTCGTCACTCCCACTATTTATTGAGTTCTTGTTAGTGCCCAATTTCCTCCTATCATTAATGTTATTGTCCTCAGTACTTGGTGTTCTTCAGCCCTCTTCAATAATGCCTCACATTACCATGTACCTCAAGTTTGTAGCCCTCCTGATCAGGTTTGTGACACTCTGAGCAAAGGTTCTCTTACCAACTGCTGTGAGATGCAACCCCTCTCTTACAAGAAGTTCCCTTCCTGAAAGTGCAACCCACTTCCAAAGAAACTATATCTTTCCTAATGGCATCATAAATGGAGCTAGTTGCTCATTTCAACAATAAAGAGCAATTAGATGCCAATTTATGTCCCAAGGTCCTTTAGTTTCCTCCTTAGAGCCTCATATACCCCTACAATGTATTGAAGGCTAGATCTTGGAAGTATATTTTTATGTAATGGAGAGAGCAATAGACTGGGACTCAATTTTGTTAATTTTTTACCTCCAGCAAAATGAAAACTTTCACTTGGATTACAATTGGCAAGTTTAACTTATACAGCACATAAAGGTTTTTTTCTATTTGTACTAGTATAGGACCTTTTTTGAGAAATGTATGTTCTCTTCCTAAGAAAGGTTAACCATGCACAAAATAAGGGCAACCTTGCTCTCTAGGGGAATGTTGTTGTTGCTAATGGAGTTGTAATTTAATTCTCTTGTACTGACCTTTTGTCTCCAGTCTGCACACGGGTAAGACAGGGAGTGGCCTTTGCCTGCATTGGAATCTCACCAGAACCTAACTAAAATAGAAATATCAAATATATAATGTAGGTCTTTGATACTACCATGGTCGTCTTCAGGATGTTTTTAAAAACCATTTTTTTATTGAGGAAGAAGCCAGTGGAGCTTTGAAAAATTGTTAATGTATTTTCTGCATTTGGGTAGGCCAATAAAAGTATTACATTTTTGGTGTCTGGTCAACACAGGTATCCATGAATATGAAACATCTCTGTAACTGGGTGGCTGTGAGTTTTCCGGGCTGTATGGCCATGTTTCAGAAGCATTCTCTCCTGAAACGTCAGAAGACAATGCTTCTGGAACATGGCCATACAGCCTGGAAATCTCACAGCAACCCAGTATTCTGGCCACAGAAGCCTTCGACAACCTATCTCAGAAATATTAACTGACTTTGTTCTGGCGTCTTAGAGAACTGAAAGACATGAATAGCCAGATAATGTTAAATGTGATAAATAATACTGGCTGTAAGAGAAATTAAACTACAATGTGTTGTACAGATTACTGTTGGCAAATGATCCTTTTCCAGTCATTGCTGCTAGGCTCCATGTATGCTGGAGCCTTGGGTTCATATGACACAGGGATCCTTGGATGGACTGAGGCAGTGTCCCATATAATTTCTCTTCCAGTAGTTTTCTTTGTTGGTATACAATGAAATCATCCACACCTATTGACTGACGGAAGGGTGGCATGCACAATTGTATGTAGAGCAGAGTTGAAAGACTATGCTTACTATTTTTAAAACTGCATTTGTTGACCTGCAAGGTACTTGAGACTATCCCATCACCAAACATTCAATTCCATTGTACAGAATACATGTCCTGTTTCATGCAGATGACAGAAAAAGACTGAAAACACCTGGGGTTTAAAATTTTATGTTCTGGTGACCCTGCCTTAAAGTTTGTATGTTTAAAAGTAATTTGTTTTCCAGCAGCATCAGAATACACTTTTTGAACAGTTCTTGACACTACACAATTATAACATTTTTGATACTTTTAACTGTTCTGGGAATTGTAGCTTGAGACATTTTGAGTCCCAAGTCCACAAGCTCTGCACTGTCTGACCAAGCTAAAAATCCCAGTGTTTTGTAGAAGGTCGCCACAGTAGTCCATTTCAAAAGAGAAATAATTGCACACTTCAGAAAATCCACTCGTTTTCACAAGCATGTGCATGCATTTGCACACGAGGAAATTTTGTGATATTGACACAGAACAAGCTACAAACAAAACGGGGCAAGGAAAGCAGACTGTGCATTTCCACTAAAGCAGACTTAAAAGTAATGTCATGCAATCACTGGTATTCGTTGTGTTCAGCCAAGCATACAGATAGCCGTTAAAAACCATTTAGAGCAGGCATGGGCAAACTTGGGCCCTCCAGGTGTTTTGGACATCAACTCCCACCATTCCGAACAGCCTCAGTTCCCTTCCTTTCCCCCCTCACCCACTTAAACTTAAGGAAGAGGCCTGAAGCTGTTAGGAATAGTAGGAGTTGGAAGTCCAAAACCCCTGGAGGGCCAAAGTTTGCCCATGCCTGTTATACATATATGAGTGCAAAATATTGGGGGTTTTTTATGCAGTTAAACATTTAAAAAAAACCAATATTACGGCAACAAGACTGATTGATAACGGGCAAATAGAGGGAGAAAACGTGGAGGCAGTGACAGACATCAGACAGGCCCCTACATTGGCAGTCTTTAGGAAGAGCTTGAAGACTTGGCTATTCCCGTGTGCCTTTCCAGAATAGGAAACCCCAGCAACATGTCTCAAAAGCTATAGACTAGAGACTTAAGATTGTCCGCACATTGCACTTACCCAAAAATCCTTATACTTCAACTGTCATACTCAGCACTTTTAATCTGTACCCATCTACACTTGGCCCGGCCTTAGTTTTATTGTGTTATGGTGTATTGTTTTTACTGTTTACTGCTTGATGTTTTGATTTGCATTATGGTTTATGTGTATTGTTGTTTTATTGAGGCCTTGGCCTTTGTAAGCCGCATCAAGTCCTTTGGGAGATGCTAGTGGGGTACAAATAAAGTTAATAATAATAAATAATATTTCTAAGAGTGAAGATTACTGCAGACACTGACTGCAGCCAGGAGATCAGAAGACATTTATTTCTTGGGAGGAGAGCAATGACCAATCTCGATAAAATAGTGTAGAGACATCACACTGGCAACAAAGATCTGCATAGTTAAAACAATGGTATTCCACGTAGTAAGCTATGGATATGAGATCTGGACCATAAGGAAGGCTGTGTGAATGAAGATAGACGCTTTTGAACTGAAGTGTTGGAGGAAAATTCTGAGAGTGCCTTGGGATGCGAGAAGATCCAACCAGTCTATACGTCAGGAAATAAAGCCCGATGCTCAATGGAGGGAAGGATATTAGAGGCAAAGATGAAGTACTTTGGCCACATCATGACAAGAAAGGAAAACTTGGAGAAGACGATGCTGGGGGAAATGGAAGGAAAAAGGGCAAGATGGATGGATGGTATCCTTGAAGTGACTGGCTTGACTCTGAAGGAGCCGGGGATGGTGACGGCCGACGGAGCTCTGGCATGGGCTGGTCCATGAGGTCATGAAGAGTTGGAAGCGACAGAACGAATAAACATCTTGGAAATGAGGCCTTAGGGCAGGGGTCCTCAAACTATGGCCTGAGGGCCAAATATGGCCCTCCAAGGTAATTTACCCGGCCCTTGCTCAGGGTCAACCTAAGTGTGAAACTACTTGAAAGCACACAACCACCCTATCTCATCAGCCAAAAGCAGGTCCACACTTCCAATTGAAATACTG